CATGAAGAATCATTTTTCTCCTATGACATCACAGCAGCTCAATTTATGTGTAGTTGCTTCCTTCTCCTCAAATCAGTTTGGCCTGTTGTTCAACAGTAGTTTTTCCAGCTATGTATATATATTTGCATGAAGTTGTGCTGTAGTTTACTCATTTACCATATACTTTAAGTAATGAACTTTGTCATTCATAAAGGTGGAACTTATAATAAACTGTATGTAATGTTGGGTGCACACTTCTTGAAGTTGAGGTATCTACTCAAGAGATGACAGTGATGCCTGGAGTTAAACTGTTTATCTTGTAACATGTTGAGTGGTATGTATTAAATTGCCAAGTTATTTTTGTATTTACTCTTGTTTCACAATGCTGTATAACTGTTTTGCATATTTTTTCTAACTTCATTATTAAAAACTTTTTGAAAATGTTATTCCTTCATCTTGCAAAAATTAGATAAAACATGAACAACAGAAACAAAATTAATTTCCAATCCCACGAAGATATTGATTTCACTGGAAGGTTAGCTCCTATTCATTATGATCCATTTTGAATTAAAGAAAAACTTTCAGATGTAACTTACAAATTGATGAGTGTACCAGATGTTAGAACTTGCCATGTTACAAATATGATACCATATTATACTTACGATAATTCCACGATATTGTGGAAGATACTGTTTTTGAACAATCTGAAGAGGATATTGTTAATCATTCTGTTGCCTCAGATTTTGATTTATTGAATTTGTGTGATCAATACTTTTGATTCCAGTTTACCACATGGACCTGAAGGTGATAATAGAAAATAATCAACTGATGTATCAGCTACTTTATTGGATGAAGAATTAGCTTCACTTCTTGTGTCACTTACATATGATTATCTTCATTCATCGTCTCCATCTAATTGTAATAGATTATCTTTCTCATCCTTGAAAACACCTGTAAATTAAAATTGACTAGTCCATCATTGGACAAACTTTTTCCATTCTGATCAATTGGATTTGTAGCTCTTGTCCGAGAACAGACAATTTTTCTTCGTAATGAAATTAGCATTACTTCATATATTACCATGTCATTACACTTACATAACTTCTATAAATAGTAACTTACAAGTTTACTACTTGCATCTTGTTAAAGCTTAATTTACAACATATTGGATATACAAAGTGTTTATTGTTGGTTTGTGACAAAGAATTATGTTTCTTATTTTAAACATGCAACACACTGACATATGCTGAGATGTGGCATATATTTAATTGCTAATTCAGGTAAGGGGTTAGTAGTTTTTTATTAGTATATCTTTTGCAGGCATTACCATGTAGGTTTCAATCTACTGGTGCCCGAGTTAACATTCATAGATAATTGCTATAGTAAATAAATGTTTGCTGATACTCTGCATGTGAACATCACTTGTCCAATCTTCATGAATTGTCTTTAGGTGTTAATAAATAGCTTCTGAGAGTACATTGTGTCTATCAAACTAGCCGAGGCTTTTGTTGACGAACAAGTTGCTATGATATGGAACATGTTTTTCACAGTTGTTAAATTTAACAATGCAGGAACATTCTTATAGATCATTCCACATATTTTGTAAAAGAGTTATAAACAATAAATATCAAATGTGTCATCTAAACTAGAGTATTAGTTTTTAAGACTGACATGTGAAATAAGTACTTAGAGCTAAGCCTACACAGAAAGCTAATATTTTTTGTTTTTTCAAAGCAGATAAAGATACAACAAATTAATGACAGATTTTCATCTGTTTGTGACTTGTCAACCCAAACTTGATGTAACTTGATTTTTCTATCTTGGTTTGTTTCCTGATGTTAGTAATGAACAAGTTTACTAATGATATTTGGTTTTTTATTTTTCATAAGCTGTAAAAATGAAAAACTTTGAAATAACCAAAGTTATCAAGAATGTTGTAACTACCTCATAGATGAATAAATTGTACAGAAACATGTAAGAAACTGATAGTTCTTTCAAAGCTTAACTACTTTTTTAATACTAAACTGAGCATACATTTTGTACGTGTTAAAATATAGTAACAAGTAATATGATATTTAGCACCATAATACATGTTCATAATATGTAGACTTCAGCTAGCAACCTAGACATGTAAACATTTAAAATCTCCAGACAAGCTTTGCATTAGTCTGTAATAGCTGTAGTAGGTAAGTCTTCACAATTTAATTTTAATTTGCATATAGTTAGGATACAAGAATAATGCACTTTCATTCAAGGCCTGCATAAAAGTCAGTTCATTCAGTGTTTACATTTTCTTTACTTTCAATATGCCAAGAATACCAGTCTATCACATGTAGACTGGTTAAACTGCTCACTTATTTTACATCTGGGTCACATATGCTTCAATAAAGTTTATTTAGTTTTATATTATGTATGGATGGTATCATTGCAATAACATAGGTATGTTATAATTTACTCATTACATTGATAAAAAAAAAAAGTTGGGTTAGTAGAATTTCAGTTCAGGCCAGTACGTTTGTCATGTCTACTAGCCTGCAGCTAGTACATAAAAAGAAAATTCACCCTTGTCACAACACATATTTTATGGTTTCTTATAAGTATAGCAAATCCATCTGATAGAATATTCAACTAATACATTAAGTTCTCAAAAACTATTGGGTAAGACAAATCATCAGACATAAGGCCAAAGTGTGACATAAAACCATTCAGCCCTTCGAGGTCACCCCCTCCACACACCAAAGTATCATAAATAAACTCAATTTCCACAGTCATATACTGATTTACAAAGATGTAAGATTGCCAAGATACTGAGTGCAGAGAAATATTACTTTGTACAATTAGTTTTTTCCAGCATCTAAATATTATCAGGTCCCAAAACAGACCCTTGGAGGATCTTGCTAGTCAAATAAATCTCAATTGGAAAGCTCATAGTATGTAACAATTTTTTCAAAACTACATGAAATTTTGGGTATACATTCACATGGTTTATTTCACCCAAAAAGCAGAAGCCCAATAAAAAAAAACTTCATCAATTTGATAAGGCAAAAACATAAATTCTTCAAACCATGCTAAAATTTGTGAATTAACTGCTAACTTTTAAACTTATTTTTATGAGGTATAAAAATATATTGCAGTGACTTGCTTAAACCAAAGTCAAATTGAAAGGCTTAACATTTCTTGATGCATGCCGAGTACTCTAGATTAGATTGATGGGAATGGAAGCTTTACTCTTAGCTAGTTTCCCATGTTTTTCTAAATCACAACAAAAATAAAATTTAATTATAGATTCTACCCACCTGGAAAATAATTAGTGTTCTTAAAAATAATGTCTTATCCTTCATTAATGAAACAAACAGTTGTTTCCTACTCCAGCCTTTTAACTTTTCTCCAGTATGATGTTTCATTTTAATTTCTTAAAACACACAGTTTTTATCCTTTTGCAGTTAAGGTAAGCTTAAAAACACTGCAAGCAACATTAGATATTTTGAGTTAACAAAAGTTTTTTAATTACTTTTTTATTTCAATAAGTCTCAGAATCTTTAAATTGCATGAATTTTATATTTTTGCAAGCTTTTCATTTTAATTCTGACAATTGCACATTTAGGAGTAGGATTTTGATTGGATTGAAGATTTTTGACGAATAAAGCATCCCCTTTCAGCAGGTTTGGTCAAACTAATTAAACTAGTTGAAACTTAAATAAAATATTTCCTAAAATTAGGTTATGTAATTCTTTACTAACTATAGTTGTGACAGCTTAAGTAAAAACACTTAAACACCATTACTGTCACACTGTAGTTAAGCCTGCAAATTCCCATTCAAAGCCTATGTTAAATTGAATGGAATAAATGTTTTCAATAACAATTTTATGATATACACATAGTTTTATTATCTTTATCAGTAAGTAGGTTGGTAACAAGATCAAGGCTATCAGAAAGACCAATTCCGGAATTTTTTGGCAGAAATGACAGGTGAAAAGATAATAAATGTAGTAATTTATATACTTATAAGTTTTAATTGCTGTATGAGTGTAACAATCATTTTTGTTACACATTTTATATCAATACCTTTATCACGATATTGCCTCTGAAGCAGGCAAAAATAGTCAGTAAATTTATAAACTTTCTTTTATGTGTTGCGATTTACTGACTTAATCAGTAACCATATGATCACACATTTCATTGCACATGGATGAGCAGAGAATGGGCTCTTAACTGAAAACCATAACTGTACAATGTACATTACACTTTCCTTGATTCTTATTTGCTTAAAAGCATTACAAATGGCTTTGAAACAATTTTAAGGTAAAGAGAGACTCAAAAAGGTTGCAGTTAAAAGTGATGTTGGTGACTGAGTTCCTCTAGGATAAAGCTCATAGCAAGGGTATAAACATAACCAAAGGTGGGTGGTTTCCTAGGTATTTATTGTTGGGATTATGGTGAGAAATAGCAGTGTAATTTGCTTTTGTTTGTGAACATAAAAGATAATTCATTTAATCTTCACTTTGTGCCTAAAAATCAGTTATAACTGCTAATGTCTAATGTGTTTATTATTAAAATTTGTGATTTATGAAATGTATCTTAAATGGCTTCCACGTATATATGCAACTGAGTAAAGTATTTTGGAACTTGTATTTCATTTTTGGCCCTTTTAAAAGTCAATTTAAATCCCCGCACTTTCAGCTGTGGGGGGCATTATACTGTGATGGTCAATCCTACTCTTTGTTGATTCAAGAGTTGGCAGTGATGACTAGCTGCTAAATTAAGGACAGCTATTGCAGATAACCATCATGCAGCTTTGCGCAAAATTCATAACAAAGCTTTCAAAAGTAATGTGTGAGTCTTGTGCGCAACAATATTGATTTATGAATTTTACTAAAGATTTATGGACTAAATAATAAAGTGTGTGATCTGACAATTAAAAATTTTGTTACATTCTTCTATATGTAATTTTAAATTTGAATAGACAAAATGTATGTTATTAAATTTCAACCTGTTAAGCTCTGTGGTATTTTTCTTCACAGTCACTCTTCAATGTTTGTTACTTCTGTACAAAATCTCCATTAACTCTTGATGTTATTCGAGATAGAGTGCTTGTAGTCCTGAAACTGTATGACAAAATAGATTCTGAAAAGGTAAGATTTCTTAAGGAATCTTTAACAAAACCAAACTAATATATTTTTATGCTTATCTAATATTCCGAATTCTATTGTTCAAGGAATATGCATCCTTGTAGCATTGTAAGAAGATTGATTATTTAAATGTTTTTTTTTGAGCTATATATATATATATATAAACAAATACGTTAATGGCTATTGAGTTGTTTTAATTAATATCCTAATAAGTGAGGCATAAGAAAGCTACTTCAGTGGCAGTGATTTTTTAAGTACTTAAAAATAGTGACTGATAATTTGACTCCCAGTATTTTCACTCCTTGTAATAATTTTTTATTGTCAAAAAATAATCAACAATAAAAGTGATGCAAGTTATAAGTTGATCTTCAAAGTTAAAATTAATTTCCAAATATTGGGAGTCATTAGGGAACACAAACAATTTTTTTTTACATTAATAAATTATTACGGGGAGTCAAATTACTAGGATTGAATTATTCTACAACCCTCAAAAATCACTAGTATATCTAAAAGTAAGTAACCAATCAACTATTATTTTCAGTTCACTTTATTTCTTAATGTTGATTAATAAAGTACTATTTATAATTTTTTTTCCAAAGATTTTAAACAAACATTGTTTAGGTGTATATTGTGTACATTAATTTTTTTTTCTTTACAGTTAAATCTACAGTCCCACTTCATGAATGACTTGGGTCTGGACAGTTTAGATCACGTGGAAGTTATCATGGCAATGGAGGATGAGTTTGGTAAGATTTGTCTTTTCATCCTTTCGGGGGTGGGATATTAGGACAGATAAATTCTGTTGAATCTATTCATTACAGACAGCATGTCTTCTGAAACAGTCTAGGGACTTGTGTAGAATGGGGAATATGCTGTCCTACATTTGACCATTAAAGTAAAACAACAGACACTCGCATGTTTAAGTAAGGCTTAGCAACCAACTGTAGCTGGCAAAAGTCCTGCATCACCTAAACAGTACACAAAAAAATTAGAATAAAAAAGAAGAAAACACTTCCATAAAACTAAGAAATTATAATTATTCTCCTACTGGAAGCTGACAATTATGGGGTACATAAATTATTATTGACTTAAATACAAGCAAGTCCAGAGTTTAATAGTTATACTTAACAGGTTAGCTACACGGAGTTGATAAAATTAAGTCTGAGATTTATGTAATGTAAACAGATTGTGGAAGAACATAAAAACCTCAGCAGTAGTTAATGGGATTTTTATTATGTGACATGTATAAGGGAACCTGTAACAAAACTATTTGGTATATAGATTGTTTTAAAAAGCAGATGGGATCCATAGACATACCAGTAATTATAGGTTAAATTGTTACAGTTTAGGTAAAAAGCCTAGTGGTGTATTTTGTGTGTAATCATCTTTGAATTTCTTGTTAATGTCAACTAAAAGAAGAAAGGTTATACAATATTTTCCTGCAATTTCAATATCCCCATGTTTCTTTAAACTAATATTTCTACTTCTTTCAGGTTTTGAAATCTCAGATACTGATGCAGAACAACTTTTAACACCTGCGGACATTATTAAATACATAGCAGATAAAGAAGATGTATATGAATAACATGAGGTATAGCATAGAACTATTAAATACTTAATAATTTAACTTCTAATATGGGTCAAAGGCCATGTCATTTTTGTAGAATCACATACAAAATTTTATTGAATTACTATTTTATGAATGTATGTCAATACGTTTGGTATCAAATTATACATTAGTAAATATTGAAAAAATCATAAATACTGATTATTGTGTCTCATGGTATGTTGAATGCATCATTTGTTCAAATACAAAGCCTATAGATTCTCAAATTACTAATATTGACAAGCTAGAATCTAAGATAAGATATTCCAGTCTTTTCTATTTTCTGAGGTATCCATTAAGATGGCCATGCCCACCTCTTCCATTTTTTCAAAATACTTTCTTAAGCACACCTACTTCACCCAATCAAAAGCTCAGAATGTCCCCTTAGTGGTTTTCTCAGCCTCTGCAGGAAACCTTCTTTTCTTGCTAGATTCCAAGCAGTAAACTCAAAAAATATTTTTTTGACCCAAATATGGCTTAGTTACAAGCTTGATAAATTGGTGGAATTCTGTGGTATTGTTATTGTAATGTATGATTTTTTTATTTCAAAATGCATATATAAAACCAAAAAAAATTTGTTTTACATCCTCCACGTGCAAATTTTGATAAGGCTTAACTTACGGCAAGCAGTGAACGAGTACATACTTTATAACTAGAAGAGAATTGGTTTCTATATTTACTGTTCCATGTTTTAAGAAACTATGAAATTTAAGAACTTATTTGTAAATAGTAATAATTATTATAACTAAACTCTTGACTGTATTTCACAAAATACTCATTCATGAGAACACAGCCAAGATAGGACAACTTGCGCCATAGCCACTTCTGTAATGTTAGTGAGGCATGGCTGAAAGCTAAATAAAATAATATATAGATGTTATGAGATTTAAGCTATTTAGAATGAAAAAAGCATAATTTATACTACTATTTTTTATCGTGGTTATGAGGTTAATCAGATTGACCAAACCTGTACAGAGATACAGTAGTGAAAACAACAGATAAAGTTTTTCTAAAACAAATGTTTGGTAATTATCTGAAGGTTGTGAAATTTTCTGATGCATAAAACTATTTTTAATCTTAAAATCAAAATTACTTTGCATGCTGGATAGTCAACCTTCGAAAAGATCTGATATTATGCTTACAAAAGCCTTGTAATGTTCACTGATGATACACGCAAAATGGTTACGAGGTTGATCCCTTGGACTGAGCATAATGATGAAATTATCCATTTTCCCCACATTAAAATCTGCTGTTATCAAACTTTCCCTAACCCCTATTAATGTGGGTATTAGAACTACCGCTTCTATGCAAAAGAAAAAACCATATTTCCAATCAGTGTCTTAATTTATGATAACATAATAAGCTTTGACATATTTTCTATATTCAGCTTTAGAATTTAGTATAAAATATTCATGAAAGATTTGTAAATCTGGCAAACTAAAATTATGAGTGGAGAAATGTTAGTATTGGTAATATTCATGAACCCTATTCAAGTTTGTGATAAAAATATATATTTTTTATGCAGGTTATGAAGATGTTTTAAAAAATCTAGTCTAGGACTTTCCAAATGCTTCGGAGCTTTGCTATCAGAGAAAACTGAGAAGTAGATGCTAGTATGTTATCATACTTAGTTTTATGTAGTTACTATGTGACAATAAAATCAAGATCATCACAGTCTGTCTGTTAACAAGTACCCCTTTTATTAATGTAACAAGGCAACCAATTTTAACCTCTATAGAGGTATTTGAAGTTACTCCTTCCACATATGTAGATTTTGAAATTGTCATCCAAATAAAGCTTGTTTCACTAGTTTTAGGGTTCTCTGTTCTCACTAAATGAAGGTGTTTGGGAACTTTCCAGCAACCAGGATAGTTTATTATAATACAAAAGTTTCTCTGTGTAGAACTTTTCTTGAATACAAGTACAGTCTGCAGCCATCTCATAAATAGACAATATTTTCTTTTTGGAAAAAGCTAACAAAAGGCAATCAGTATAGATGTGTTCCTCTTCATTTGCTTGGAAGATAAAACTATATATATATATATATATATTATATATATATGTGTGTGTGTGCTGATACTTTTATCAGTAGTTTATCCCATGCTCAACGAGTTTGTGGTTGAAAGAATCCTGATACATGAATGGCTAAGCAGTCAACAAACTCCAGATCTTAGATACGTGGGATGCAGCATACCTCCTTGGTATTCCATGCTGGTTCAGATAATTTTTACATGGAGTTTCTTTTAAATCTTTACTCTACTACTCTTAAAATTTTTCCTATGGCGATGGTACGGCCTACAATAAAAAAAAAATCATACGTTTATATAATCTTCACATCTATTTGCAATTGTTAATAAATATTATAAAGAAGAAACTACATTATGAAATTTATTAAATCTGAAAATGTTACTTCCATACCTTCATCTCGTAGCGTAAACCGTCCCATTTGTGGGAATTTTTTAAAAGATTCCATACAAGTCAGAGCTAAACATTCAAATCTCATGATGGCCACTTGATCCTGCTTTACAAATCGGGGTCGCGTTTTGCTTCTTTCTCCAGATTTCTTATCAATTAGGCAGATTAAGGCCTGGATTCAGAAAATACAATATAAAGAGAAACCTTAGGAAGGGTGTTGTGATTAATATCTATTATAAACTACCAGCCTCATAAAAATCAGTAATAGCACTTAAGTAATGCCATTTCACACCCTAGTGAACAATATTTCTACCCTCTCTTATATGTTACAAGTTCATGGTTAACACAAGATCCCCCCCTCAGTTAGAAGCACTTCAGTGGCAGGGATGACATATATAAAATCTATGACTTGGGATATGATGATTACAATTTACAATTTGGACAAAAATATACGGATTTATGCCTATCCATATCAGAAACCCCATTCTTAATGACAGTACTTCTTGTTGTGTCACTGATGGAGATATTACAACCTTTTCATTCTTCGCCTGCCATTGCATCTGCTTTTCAGACCAGAGCCTAACAGATCTTCAGCAAACAGCTCTAAGCCCTACTAACCATGACTAGAACTTTGCTACTCTTCAGTACGTTGTCATCAATCACCATTATTCCCTTATTAATCTGCACATGCAACGTTGAGATGTTCAACATGTAACCTGTGCAGCTGTTGTGGACATAATCATAATACTTTTTGGCAGCTCTTGTTGAGGCAAATCCATCTACTAAGCCCAAAACTGCTATGGTGATAGTAGTCCTCTGCCAAATCAGATCAAGAATAAGGTCTCCAACCTCAAACATACAATGACAGTCACATAATTTGATTTGAGAATCCAGAAAAGAAATAATCCATGTTTGTGAATGCTGCAGTCACTATGAAACCCTGTCTCTCTTTGAATGCTCCCAAATGAAATAAATTATCATCAGTTGGATACAGCAGATTCCAGATTTTCCAATGGTGTATGCAACACCTCCAAGATACAATTAACAGAATTCCTTATTTCTTACTCTGCTAACCAAAGATATTATTTCACTTATGGTTGAGAGATAGATCCTGTGTTAAATACAATGATATTTAGTAATGCTTACATTTTCAACTAGCATGGACTGCAGGAAACACACAAAACTGTATATACTTTCAAAATAAGATTTTTTAGGATTAAAGATAATGTTCTGTTTCAGTAAATTTTTCACTTAATCATTATTTACTGATCAGCAAGTAGAGTGAAAAATATTATCTAATCAAAAACTCCTTAGGTGTGAAAAAAAGGTGTGGCCAAAAAGGAACGAGCATGCAACTTAAAGGAATGAAATCAAAATTGGTGATCAAACTGGTAGCTACAATTATAGCATTAATAAGAATGTTACAGCAAATACTCGTTCATTAACTAGCTAGGCTGCATATTTTGTTTTACTCACCATCATGCCCATTGAACAATTTTTATTTTATTCCTTTAAGTTACATGCTCAATCCTTTATTGCCTTCACTTTTTCCTCACACCCAAGATGTTTTTGATTAGATATCATGACTTTTTTGTCAATACACGTCAAATAAGAATGTGACACTTGACATTAACAGTAACTTTATAAGTGCAACCATATTATTCAGAACAGACCTACACTTTACAGAACCAACCATATTTAAAAATGGTGATAGTTTTCTCTCTCTAAAACTGTTAATAACTTCCTTTATAATAACACCATGGAATCTAGATTAACATTTTCTTGTTATCACTTGCATGCACTCGCTACAGCCATATCAAGCATCATTATTTATGCTGATTGCTTAAAGTAATATGAAGTGATGCTTAAATACTCTTTAATTAACAGAATTTCAGAAAATTTAGCAAAGAATAATAAATGTCCACCCATATGATTCTTTTGAAAACTTGAGCTAGAAAATGCTAATCTAGTTTGCTTGGCCTAGCCAATACTTATTTATCTGCACGTGCTTTCAAGCTATAGTTGTGCTGCTCTAAATCAGCCATCTTTAATCCAAATGACAGAAAACAGTCCACTTTTACTCTTAGATGAAGCTGTAGTAAAAATTTCAGAAAAAGAAGAATAGCTCATGTAACTTTTTGAGCAGTTTTTGTTGAATAACTTTGCTCTTGTGGCTTATAGTTAGGTAACATTTAACACCTAACTGTATGCTGTGAAGATCTATCGGTGTACCAAATTTGGAAAAAATCCATAAATGTTAAGTATGTTTTTCTATCAAATAAAGAGAAGAAATTCAATCATAATTGGAGATTTTATATCTTGTGTAATTCTTAATGGATTGCTTTGAAATTTGGTACATGAAGTAAGAGTCCAGTAAAGCACATCCACTGAAAATAAGTGATAGTTTGGATTACCACAGTTCGAGCTACAGAAAGTGCAAAATTGCTAAACTATCACTCCAGTTAATAACAAAAGTGTGTCCTGCAGGTCATTTTAGCTACACAACACACTATCACTTGTCTTAATAAATTATATTTTCCAAACAATTAGTTTTTACCTCAAATTATATTAAAAATTATTCATTAAACCTCTTCAAACAGGATTCATCACCTCAGGTAAATTTTTCATCAAATATATCTGATATTAGTATGAAGTTTAGATGTCTACATGACCACAAATTTAAGGAAATAGAAACTTACTTTGACTGAAACCTCCTCAACAGATGCATGCAGATGTAGAACAGCTGTATAGCCTGGACATATAATAGACTTGTGTTCTAGGATCACCACCTGTAATATGTATCTCCAATAAACTATAGGATTCGTTCTTCTCTAACACAAAAGTTCATTGTGAATTTAAAAAAATCATATCAAATGAATTTTAGGCACGTAAAGCATACAAATAAAACAATGTATTCACCCTCAGAGATTTCTTTAAACAATTTCTACTATCATATATTACAATCACACTAAAACTTGAAATAATTTCAAAACTTCCTAACACATTACTATTTGAACATTAGTGAACACAAGGGTAGAATGTCATACTAAAAACATGAGATGCCAAGATTACATCAGCTTTACTGTAGATCCTCCATAACACCAATGTTGTATTAAGAAACAGATTGATGGGTCACTCCAATTGCAAACTCACAACAGTATTTTTAAAGTTTAATTATAAATTTCAGAACTTTAAACATTGTACAAATAGATTTTTTGTGTTTTCTGGTACCAAGTTTTTATTTATCTTTCTCAATCAAATTTCAATATTTCCAGTTAACTTTGTGGTTATTTTACATTTTTGGGTCTTGTTTGCTTAGCTGTTAATGTACTGGTTGAACTTAGTTACTGTATTGACCACATAGTTCCTGCAAACTTAGAATGGTTCTTAACTTTGAAAAGAAGTACAGTATCAAACTAACAACTCTCAGAAAGAGAAGATTCTGATCTTTAAAATTATTAGTCAAGAATACGAGAGATTCATATAAAAGTTGATCACATGTATATATGAAAACATTGAAACAACATCAAGAGAAGATTTTAAAACAAATCCTCAAAGTTTAGAGGTAGGACATTTTTATTATAGCTTTATTTCATTCCTTTTTTTTTTATGTTACATTTGTTCAAAGGGTACAGGAAAGTTCAATGAAAAATATCAGGTAAAGATATTTAGGTTTGGCAAATATGGTAAGTAAGACCTGCAAAGGGAAACTATTCAAAAAACACAAATATAGGAACTTACATATTAAAAACAAATTATAACTATTAAATGTAAATTGAACTCAACCAGAAAATATCATCAAAATAGCACACTACAACACCTGACAAAAGTAATGGTGAAGCCATTATGAGATGTAAAGTCATTGATCACAAATAAATATTTATCATTCTTGCCATGTTTGTGTTATCTACAGTGGAATGTCAGTTGTTTTGGTTGGCAAAAGTAATAAATTAAATGTATTAGTAAATATCAAGCAAGTTGAAGCTGATTAGATACATAAAGTGGAACTTTCTGATGCACAATACCTAAAATACAAATATTTTATTTTTCAATAGTGTTACCCAATAAAATTTCAGAAACTTCTGAACCTAAAAATTGTACAAATACCAAATTAAATTTTATGTATTAGGTCTCATGAAATTTATTTAACTATCTTCATTGGGTCAAAAAAAGACTGAAAGCTTGTTGGAGTGTAAAGGGGGTTAACACCTCGTCTTTATATATTTATAAAAATACTAAGTTATGAACAAACTTTGTTATCAGAGAAGTCTGAACTACCTTGGCCATATTGGAGATGTTTAGATCTATGGCAAGCAGTCCTTATGCTATTTTTCTATGATTTGAATATTTTTGTAAAGCTATACAAGAGCTAACTGCACTAACTGTCCCCAATATGAACAGACAGACCTGACAAAATGCAGCTAGTTCATAACACCAACTCATAGACTAATTTTACTGAATAGTGGGATTTAACAGGCACCTTCATGATGCCTCTATGGTCCAAATTGTGAAGCACAATTCTACAGAAATGGGACATGAACCATGGACCCTTAGTCCTGCAATTACCTCACACTGTCTGTTGAACAATAACTATAACTTAAACGTAAAGCACAGCTCATCCAAAAGTGTGTATATGATTATATATCTTTCTATAAATGGTTGTATAAAACCACTTGTAAAGGTAATCACCATACATACCTGAGCATCAAATATTTTCCCCACTGTACATGGATTGTCTGCATCACATAGGACGAAGCCTGACTGCACTTCCTAAAAAGTATCAGCAATATCATAATTGTGTACCTTATGTGCAAATAATAAATTTCTCAAGAAAAGCAATAAAATTAAAGGGTCCATACGAAACCAATGGGCAGCTGTTTTATACGTTTTCTCATGTTTATAAATATTTTTATATTCTTGATTTTTTTTTATTTATTCTTAATTTACACAATATATTGAATGTTATCATGTGTACAAAAAACAGTATACTAGATGATGTATATTGTGTTCATATATATATTTATATACATACACACACACGAGGTAAAACATTTCATGAAAACCAGTAATAAACCTTAAAAGCAATGTTTGTCTGTTATAAGGCACAAAGCTACACAATAAGCTATATGTGCTCTGCCCATCGCAGGTACTGAGGCCCAATTTTTAGCATTATAAGCTCATTGACTTACCACTGATCCACCAGTAGGCCTTTAAAAACAAAATCTTGAAAATAGGACCTACAACTAGTTTGCCAGTTATTATTATTTTTTAAATCCAATAATGATGTGTCAGTAATTCTTACCTAAAAATCTGACTTGTGTGGGACTTGCATAAAAATGATGATAATTACATCTTACTTGGATAATCAGATTACCACCCTAACGGTTGTTGTTCATGAATATTGATTTATATATGTATATAGAGCCTAGACTGGCAATGGATATGGCAGATGTGGTTGACACATTATAACATACTAGCTTTTACTTTTACTTGTGGGTTCTTAGAATACTACCGTATTCATAAGATCTGAAAGGAAATGCTGCTGTAGTATACTTAGTAGTTATTAGTAACTCAAAATATTTTCTAATTTTAACAGTTCCTTTTACTTATGCTTACCTTAAGATACAAGTTTCATAAACTCTTGTTTAGAAACTATTTTGTTTCCATATCAGTTTTATCATCATGATTCAATAAAGGTTTAAATTATCTGTGGAACGAATAGTTTTTCTATTGCATGTTAGTTCAGATCTGAGAAACTTAAAAACTAAAATATACATTGGTCTAAACGTTTATATTTTGAATAGTAAAATAATGTGAAACTTCAAACAGTTTTCAAAAGTGTGGGAAGTCCTTTTAATGTAAACAGCATGAAATAATTGTAACAATCAAATAAATGGTAATATTCAAATAAGATCCATAAAATCAATGTACTGCATGATAATTTAATACACATTCTGTTTGGAGTTTTTTTTTTTTTAACTTCAAGTTAAGTTATAATTCTGAAATATTCGTAAGAAATATAAATGTCACCAAACATTGTTATAATGCTAATTAGGAGAAAACGATCTCTTTACTACTTAAATATTTTTGTTATACAACAATCCAATCTTATTCATTTGTGTTTCATATAATACACTTTTACTCCATTCTTTTTTTTCTATACACAAGTTCAAAGATGTATTTAATACTTCATCTTAAGTTACCTCTTCTTCTACTCCTTTTAACTTTATCTTGATACTATCACCAGATGCAACCATATTAACTTCATCTTCATCAGTCCATAAAGTTAACACTTCTACCTGTTTCTGTAAAAAGAAAATAATTTATCACACTATTTTACAAAACAAAACAGAAGACTGTTACCGATTATTTGAACAATTTCATTTATGTTACATAAAGGATACACATAACTGTAAAGCCTAATTTTAAGATCTTACAAAAATTATGAGACTAAGGAATATATAACCAATATGAGCAATATTTTGTCTTAACCCTTTCCAGCCTGGTAGCAGTATATTGCCATCCCTGTATTTGCATATCATAAAAATTAGTAAGTCAAATGTCACCATATATAAAACATTGAAACAAATACTTTAAACCTAAACCATGATAATTTAATGTTTTGGAAACTAAATTTGATTTTTTGATAAAGTTACATTATTATGATATAAAAACCACTACATGACATAGCTATATACTATGCTGTTAAGAAATAAACCTGTAACTGTTGACTTTAAAGCCAGAATTCACAAAATATTATACTACAGAGATTCTACAACTCAATGTTCACCAGTATTTCTCTTATTTTTATTTTATTCATTTTACAAAACAAGTAACTGTCCCTAGAAGAAACGTCTCTAGCCAACACTTGGGCCAATTTTTTTTTTTTCACAGCTATGTTATTTGTTCATTATTATTATATTTCAACAAACATTTTTGAATAGTAAAAATACAATCACAAGTCTAATGATGTAATGCACTAGCTCATTTTGTTAAAAGAAATTCTGCAGTAAAATATATCATGTATCATTAAAAGTAATATAACTAGATAACACTAACCATACTATATCTGATTTATAAAATTACTTCTGTACTTTAGGAAATTCTGTATTCCTGTTTCAAGCAGACTTCTGCTAATCTCTAAACTAATACCAGGGCAAAGTCTGTGGTAAGACTCCATTAATTTCAAATTACCAGTGGGCAGGGATAGAAATAATGAAATAAAATTACATTCACATGAGGGAAAGCTATCAGGAAGATTACATTCCCTCACGTAAGGCTGCAGTTCCTCATGAATTGCATTTTCACTTAATCCATGTAATATGTTCACTTTCATTGGTCATAACTAAAGGAATACTGATGGACCATGCACTCCTGATCGGAAAAGCCAATTATAAAGATGAAGTTCTTGAAGCAAAGTTAAATTCTTCAGCAATGCAGGAAAGTAATATTTTGATCCTTGGTGGGAGTTTTTATAATTAGTGAAAAAAAACAAACAACTTCTATAGTAATTTCTTCAACAAAAGAAAAAAAGAACAAAGGGAACCAAGAAAATTAATATATTACTTTTAAAGTAGCATAAAACACACAATATAGTTGGTTATTTGACATGTTATCAAAGAAAGGCTTCAGAGGTAATAACTAAGACTACAAATTTAGAATCCAC